AACATATACTATTTTGGATAACATAACTTGCCTACGTCACAATGAGTTACGTCAAAAGTATATTACTCCGCTTGACGTTACTTTTAAAATAATGATCAATTTGAAGTCTTTTTAATTTCCGGAGGAAATATTGTCTCATTGTCTACACTGGAATAAAATTATAAGGAATGAAGCTAATTTCAACTTATGTTATCCGATGTAACAAAACTTGGGTCAGTTTCGCGGTTTATAAAGCGTAAACTGTCCCAAGTTATGTTATATCGGATAACATAAGTTGAAATAAGCTTCATTCCTTAAATATTATATTCAATTATTATAAAATATTTCTATAAAAGAATATTTATAATGCAACATACGTTTTTGGGTATGAACTATCTTACCCTTTTGCTTAATTGACCTAGAGCTTTGAAAACATCCTTTATTATCCCATGCACTGTTGAAATTGATACTCCTAACAAATATGCAACCTCTGTCATAGATGTTGTATTTGCTAGGTACAAAAGCGCTACAAGCAGCTGTTAGTCGGGAGGGACTGTGGCTTGAGGACCGTGACCATTTCTTTGCAGGACAACAAACACTTCATTAAGAATGACAATGTATAATTCTCTACTTAGTCTGAAATGTACTCTAAAACCATCAATATATGTAGGATCAGACATCAACTGTACAACATTCACAACGTATCCTTCTACTTTCGGTACTCTGTCTCTCTTTAACTGGATCGCATGCAGTGTTTTTTCTGCATTAGAAGAAAATCTGCCCTCTAATTCTACGTCATCTAGTAAAGTTTCAAGAAACAAATAAAAAAAGTCCTCGATATCAGCCATGTTGGAGAAACTATAGTTCAACCAGAGAAAATTCGATCAACAAAGAAATGACGCATGCGCTTTGAGCTTACTGTAGTATTACGTTAGTTTGTGTTCGAAGTCTCTCCCTATATATATACATACTGTACTTGTACTTTCAGTTTCACACGACAATATAAACAAACAAAGGTTATTTCCCCATTCTAATCGTTATCAAATTAATACATGATTATTTTTCGTGCTATATAATATAAAACATGATCGTGTTAACTTTTCAAATTATTGCACATCATTATTGACAACATTGACAATGAATTTGGTTTATGAACCATGCATATGCTAGGTAGGGCATGTCCCTTACAGTAAGTCATTAATCATTATCCCTATACTTAGTTTAAAGCCGCTTAACCCGAAACAGGCACATATTATCATCCACAATAAAAGTACCTCATTACATAGATAATGTATAAAAATAAATTATAAGATTGATTTAATAGTATATTACAACAATCCTTACATGGAAAATGCAGATCAAAAACCTTATTGACAAACAGTCGTTCCTTACGGAAGTTAAGATCTGGTGTGAAGTCAATTTTGAAAATAATAAGTTTATCGGATATATCTAATAATGAAGATAATTCAAACCCGAGCATTTTTTTTCTCTATTTAGTAGAATCCTTAGTCATAATATATCTTTTCAAAATTAAGAAATTAATTGAATATAATACATAGTAACTTTTATATTGAATATGCATATTTAAAGAATAAATGAAAAATCAGATATTTAAAATGATTTTTATGAAGGAGCAAAACTATTATCAATGTACTTTGTTGTGAGAAAAATGCTCGGGTTCGTTCTTCATGATATAAACATGCAAGCGATAAATTTATTTTTTTCGAAGGTGATTTCACGCGATATCAACAATGATTAACATAGGATAATTTTTTGTGTGACCTAACAAAAATTATTTTTTTAACTTTTGAATTTTGATATCTTTTAAAAGAAAAAGACTTTGGGGATATAATTTGACAAAAGTTCAAACAATTATATATATATATATTTTTAGCGATTAGAATCGGACCAAGCGACTTTAAACAATATCTCATTATTTTTAAGAGTATTATTTGCATTATACAGTAATATATATCTCACACTGGTGATGCAAAAAGTAAATCAGTATTATAAATATTCCTTTTAATTAAAACTTACAGTAGATGCTTTGGATGGTGATGTGGGATGTCTTATAAGAGCAAGATGTTATAGATCCCAGAAAAAGAATGAGTCCCCACATGATGTAGAGGTATGCCAACTAGAATTGTGTTTTTGACATGATATTTAATAATGATACCTAGTACAATTGTCCATGTTCAAGTTTATGATTGAATTTATAAATTTGTGTAACTGAGATTAATAACTATATGTTGTATTCAATTTTTAAAGAATATGTACATGCATGTTTTCTGTATATGTCAGCTCATGTGATAATTGTAGTTTAATGATATTCTAATACATGTATAATCATTTTTAGGTAGTAATAAAGAAAGGACCGGTGTTTAGAAGAGAAGACAGCAAGTGTTCCCGTGCAGTTGGTAGATCTGGATCTTGTGGACACATTGTTGGTGTATTGTACGCCATTGCTGATACGAAAGCATCCAATCTTAAGGCAGTTCCGACTGATTTTGCCAAGACTTCCTTACCACAAACGTGGCAAGTTCCAATAGGAAAACATTTTTTGGTCTGTCTGTTTAAGCAGTTTTACACTTACAAGATTACCGATGCTCAATCTAATTAAAAATATATGTTCCGATCCGCTTGCATACTCGCTTCAAAAACTAAAATAAGATGTTATATTCCCTTGCATATTGGCTATACAAACAGATGTTAGTAAAGCGAGTATAAAAGCGGATCTAACATCTGATTTTAAGAGGCCATGTCAGTAACCATTGAGTATTGTATATAAAGTGAGTGGAATGTGAAAAAAAAATATTTTGCTTTAATATTTGGTTGCATGGAGGTATAGATGAATGTCCTTTCAAACATAAATTATTTGGGTTACATCTTCCTTGTTACCATAGCAACGGTGATTTTAATGCTTGAAAAGTGTGAAATTTGATTATTGATAGCCCTGTCAATATTAATGACAGAATCAAACTACGTTTTTCTTAATTTCAATATATATGGGAGATTTAATTTTTCCCTTGTTTATTTTAAAGCATTGGGGCCTACTTTGCTTTGTTTCTACCAAATGCTGTAAAATCAACATGATTTTTATAAATAATTTACACAAAAACGCAACCAAACTCTATCAAAGTCATACATGCAATAGAAACTACGAGCTTTAAAGTTATAAATCCAATAATAAACCAGACGTCTCTGTCGAGACTGTAGCTCTACTGGTATGTACTTATCAAAAACCATTGCACTATTTTATGTATCTTTGTGTAGTCTACTTGTGTGCCAACTTATTTTGAAATCAAACTAGAACTGTAGAAGGAGTAGGAATTTCACATAAAATTCTATTTTTAGTAACCATGGCAACACCGTTCATCGAAATTAGAAACCGATGCACTATTCTATGTGGGTAGTATCTACCTTAGGGTAGAGTACTTGTGTGCCAAGTTATACTGAAATCAGACCAAAACTGTAGAAGTAGTAGAGTTTTTAAAGAATTTCACAGAAAATTCTATTTTTAGTAACCATGGCAACATCTTTCTATTTTTAGTAACCATGGTAACACCCTTCATCGAAATTAGAAACCGATGCACTATTCTATGTGGGTAGTATCTATCTTAGGGTAGTCTACTTGTGTGCCAAGTAATACTGAAATCAGACCAAAACTGTAGAAGTAGTAGCGTTTTTAAGGAATTTCACAGAAAATTCTATTTTTAGTAACCATGGCAACATCCTTCATCGAAATTGAAAACCGATGCACTATTCTATGTATCTTAGTGTAGTCTACTTGTGTGCCAAGTTATATTGAAATCAAACTAGAACTGTAGAAGGAGAAGCGTTTTTAAGGAATTTCACAGAAAATTCTATTTATAGTAACCATGGCAACATCGTTCATCAAAATTAAAAACCGATACACTTTTCTATGTATCTTAGTGTAGCCTACTTGTGTGCCAAGTTATATTGAAATCAGACCAAAACTGTGGAAGGAGTAGCGTTTTAAAGGAATTTCACAAAAAATTCTATTTTTAGTAACCATGGTAACACCGTTCATCGAAATCAAAAACCGATGCACTATTTTATGTATCTTAGTGTAGTCTACTTTTGTGCAAAGTTATATTGAAATCAGACCAAAACTGTGGAAGGAGTAGCGTTTAAAAGGAATTTCACAGAAAATTCTATTTTTAGTAACCATAGCAACACCGTTCATCGAAATTAAAAACCGATGCACTATTTCATGTATCTTAGTGTAGTCTACTTGTGTGCCAAGTTATATTGAAATCAAACTAGAACTGTAGAAGGAGTAGCGTTTTTAAGGAATTTCACAGAAAATTCTATTTATAGTAACCATGGCATCATCGTTCATCAAAATTAAAAACCGATGCACTAATCTATGTACCTTAGTGTAGTCTACTTGTGTGCCAAGTTATATTGAAATCAGACCAAAACTGAGGAAGGAGTAGCGTTTTAAAGGAATTTCACAGAAAATTCTATTTTTAGTAACCATGGCAACACCGTTCATCGAAATCAAAAACCGATGCACTATTTTATGTATCTTAGTGTAGTCTACTTGTGTGCCAAGTTATATTGAAATCAGACCAAAACTGTGGAAGGAGTAGCGTTTTAAAGGAATTTCACAAAAAATTCAATTTTTAGTAACCATGGCAACACCGTTCATCTAAATTAAAAAACCATGCACTATTCTATGTATCTTAGTGTAGTCTATTTGTGTGCCAAGTTATATTGAAATCAGACTAAAATTGTAGGAGGAGTAGCGTTTTGAAAAATTGTTTACAGACAGACGGACAGACGGACGCCGGACGCATTACTATTGCCTAAGCTCTTCTGGTCTCTGACCAGTAGAGCTTAAAATGGTAGTTGGGTACTCTATAGCAAATAATTTGATTTAGAATGTACCACAAATATGAAAACGCGTGAACGATTATCTCCCTTTTGTGGAACTCTCCTGTTGATAAAGAACAGAAAATTGCTGTTGCAGCAGAAGTCGGAGAAGATATACACCTTGTAACGATGTTTAAAGCAGGTCTTGTGCGGTTACAGAGGACATGACAGCATCAAGAGTTTGTAGGTGACTGAAAAGTACTATTTATATTCCGAAATGTCTTACGTTTTCCTGTTTTTTAAAAAGTATTTCTATATTTTACGTGCTAGGAAAACGCCATAACCGGCGCCTTTACTTGTTTACGAGAACTGGGAATTCCAAGTAGACAGCTGGTAGAATCAGCATTCTCGGGTGTATTTTCGATACTGGCAATTACTTGTCAAACTCACAATTTATCAATAGTACAATGCCTCTAGTACTTACCAATATAGTTTTTATGGTTTGTTTGTAAATATATGATCCATGATCCCATGGAAACATTTTCTCTGACTGTCGAAATTTGTTTTGATTTCGTGCCTTTACAAATTAAAAAAATATACAAGTCCTGTATCGAAATGATGAGTGATTATTTTCTTTTCATTGATATTGTCAAGTGCCATTGATAAATTGTATCAACGGCATTTAAGGGACAATATCCCTCTGCTCCAAATTTCACGCCTTTTGTGTTTTTTTTTTTAATCCAGACATTGATTTTCAGCAACAAATATAGCATTAAATTCAAATGGAAAATAGTTTGAAGTATGAAGCGTTGCTTACTTTTTCAGAAATGAATAATATGTCAAATCATGATGTGAAGAAAATTCGGGATGATAAATAGAAAGATTTACTATTTTATATCTCACAATTAATTTAGAAATATGAGGTAAATTTAAAAATAATATCTACTCTCATACCTATCTCATTCCCAACAGAAAACATATTGAAACGCTGCTTTTTAAATCACAATTTCAAATTGTTTTATGTGCATGTAAAATAACACACATCCATAAACAAAAGTTATCATTCCATTATTGCCCTTAAAAATTTAATATTTTTTAATGAAACAAAATATTAATTAAAGGTTTATAGTAAGTTTGTAAACAGGTCTAAAATATTTTCAGGAGAATCATGATGATAATCAGTTGCAATGTGAACTAACAAATAACCTTGAAGTACAAGCAGATCCAATTAATGTGGAACAAATGAAGGTTTGTATTGAAATTTTTACATGTACTGAATTATTATGCCCAAAGAGCATGAACATATTTTTGTTTGTCCTTTCTGTCTATCTGTTGTCAGCTTTAACCTTTACTATGACTTTTGAACTGTGAGATCATATTTTTATACATAATCCACTAATTAAGTTCTTTTAATTACACCAACATCAGTAACCTTTAGATCTTGATCTTTTTGCTAAAACTAGCTTTTCTATATTTGTTGACGCTGGGGGCATACTGTTTCACAAACTTATTTTGCTTTAAATTACTTTTAGCATCAGCTTGTTTATCATAAAGAATCAGCAACTATATGCAGTAGGGTCGTGTAAATTTGTAAACAGATATGAAATACTTTCAGGAGAATCATGATGATGATAAGTTGCAATGTGAACTACCAAATTACCATGAAGTGCAACCAGATTCAAAGCATATGGAACAAACAGAGGTTTGTACTGAATTTTTTTTACATGTACTGATTTGTTTAGAACTACTTTGAGCATCAGCTTGTTCATAAGAGCCCAGCCTCAAGGAGTACCAGTAATCACTTTGTTCATCCATTTCTTTGTCAAGAGATAACTCGAATGCTATGAAACTTCAAACTTGAAAGGATTGTGACTCAGTAACTTAAATCCATTTGACCTGTGAACTTCATACTTTAAACCCAGACAAGAAGCCTAAAATGGGCCCATATTGCTCACCTGGTCTTCTGTCAAAGGTTGTTAAAGACTGATATCATGAGGCACATTTGTGTCATCTAAGCTGTGCTTTTGAAGCAGGTATGAAATGCATTTCATATAAGACAATTTCATTGAAGTCTACTGTGACCTTAGCATTGAAGTTTGACATTGAGTTAGGGTCATGCCACACCACCTTATCATTAGGAGCATTGAATGCCAAGTATGAAGTTGTTCCATGAGGCATACAGAAATACAGACCTTAAAACTCCCTCGTAAAAGGCGACTAAATGGGGCGGTCCTTCGGATGAGACCGTATAAACCGAGGCCCCGTGTCACAGCAGGTGTGGCACGATAAAGATCCCTCCCTGCTCAATGGCCCTGAGTGCCGAGCATAGGCCCAAATTTGCAGCCCTTCACCGGCAATGGTGACGTCTCCATATCAGTGAAATATTCTGGAGAGGGACGTTAAACAGTATACAATCAATCCATCAAATTTTACCTTGACCTTGAAGGTGCGACTTTGGCTCAGGGCTGTGACACACTGTCTCAGCATGAGTAACATTTTTGTCAAAATGAAATTGTTTTAAAAGAAGTTGTTAGTTGGATTGATTTTGTATCTTTTGTAGGTGGAATCAACTTCAGACGACAACTTTTCCAAACACCTTGTGAAAGTCATCTGAATGCCAGGATTCTCAAGAGCATGAAGATAGTCCATTACATAGAAGGAAAACCTTGATTATGTATCTTGATGCCATTGGTGAAAAGGCAGAGGTCTGACACTGACTGTGAAGAAAATGACTTGACAGCTGAAAGGAACAAGAACAATTTGAATCAGATTTCTGATAGGGCTCTTAAAGCAGTGAACTAAAAACATTTTCTTACTAAGTTTAAAATATTGATATCAAAGTTTTTGAAAGAGGGATAAGGAATCACCCTGTTTGTTTGTCCATCTGTCTGTGGACAACACTTAGATTATACTATTGTAGCTCTAGTTGGTTAAAATAGATAATATATAAAATTAAATGTGTCATACTTCTTGTTTACTGTGCATAAATGTACTTTGAAGAACATACTGTATAAGTAGAATTTTTAGCGAGGATTTAATTTTGGCATTACATGTATTAGAGAGGGTGCTGACATCGCTAAAATTGAATATTTTTAAAAATTAATGTCTTATTATTTGTAATAGCTTCTTTAGTTAACATTTTAAAATCGCTAAAATTACTTCTGGCTAATAATAAAATACCAGACTTTGGTAGAAATCGCCAAATTTGCATCTCGCTTAAATTTCCACTTATACGATATATTATTATTTCTAGCAAAAGATTTCTGTAGAATATATGACTGTACACTTCAGAAAAAAATTCAATCTTAGTATCAGGTACAAGATATGCTGTAATGGTGCCTAGTTGTGTCGCCTGCATAGCAAGGGGACTCTTAGGGCTCTTCGTAATTTCTTGTCTGTCTGTCTGTCTATCCATCGGTCCATCTGTCTAGCTGTGCAAACATGTACGGTCCATATCTTTCTTACGAAGAAACATTAGAATCTATTTCTCCATACAAAGATTGCTCATGACCTAAGAGTGTGTCATGATCTTGACTCAAGGTCATTTGGGGAAGTTCAAGGTCACTGGAAGAAAAATGTCATTATTTGTGTCCGTTCCATATGTTTCTTATGGATTAACTTGGTAAGTTCCCATTTTACAAAAAGATTCCTTGTGACCTAATGGTGTAAAACAGGAACTTGTCTTGAGGATGTGTCATGACCTTGACCCCGGGTTCTTTGTGTCAGTTTAATGTGACTGAAAGGAAAAACCTCATAATTTGTGCCTGGTCCATATCATTCATATTGATAAACTTGGATACTATTCTTGTTTACACAAAGATCACTTATGACATAAGGGTGTAATGACTTTGACCCAAGGTCAATTGTCCAAGTTCAAGTGCACAGACAGTACAAAAATTATAATTCATGTCTGGTCCATATCTTTCTTAAGGATAAACTTGGAGGGTTCCCACTTTACACAAACATTGCTTTGACCTGAGAACTTGACATGACTTTAAACCAAGGTCATTTATGCAAGTTCAAGGTCACTAACAAAAAAAAATCATAATTCATGTGTGATCCATACATTCAGTCTATTTTTAGCTCACCTGGGCCGAAGGCTCAAGTGAGCTTTTCTGATCACATTTTGTCTGTCGTCCGTCTGTCTGTCTGTCTGTCTGTAAACTTTTCACATTTTCAATTTCTTGTCAAGAAACACTGGGCCAATTTTGACCAAAAAAGGGTTGGGTCATTAAAAAATCTTCTCAAGAACCACTGGGCCAGTAAAGCTGAAACTTATGTGGAAGCATCCTGGGGTAGTGTAGATTCTAAATTGTTCAAATCATGACCCCCGGGGGAAGGGCGGGGCCACAATGGGGAATCAAAGTTTTACTTAGAAATATATAGGAAAAATCTTTGAAAATCTTCTTCTCAAGAACCACTGGGCCAAAAAAGCTTAAACTTATGTGGAAGCATCCTGGTATAGTGAAGATTCTAAATTGTTCACATCATGACCTCCGGGGGAATGGCGGGGCCACAATGGGAAATCAAAGTTTTATATAATTATAATTGTATACTGTTTAACGTCCCTCTCCAGAATATTTCACTGATATGGATACGTCACCATTGCCGGTGAAGGGATGCAAATTTTGGCCTATGCTCGGCACTCAGGGCCATTGAGCAGGGAGGGATCTTTATCGTGCCACACCTACAGTGACACGGGGCCTCGGTTTAAACGGTCTCGTCCGAAGGACCGCCCCATTTAGTCGCCTTTTACGACAAGCAAGGGGGTACTGAGGACGTATTCTAACCCGGATCCCCACGGGACTCAAAGTTTTATATAGAAATATATAGGAAAAATCTTTGAAAATCTTCTTCTCAAGAACCACTAGGCCAGAAAAGCTGAAACTTATGTGGAAGCATCCTGGTATAGTGTAACTTCTAAATTGTTCAAATCATGACCCCCGGGGGAAGGGCGGGGCCACAATGGGGAATCAAAGTTTTATATAGAAATATATAGGAAAAATCTTTGAAAATCTTCTTCTCAAGAACCACTGGGCCAGAAAAGCTGAAACTTATATGGAAGCATCCTGGTATAGTGTAATTCTTAATTGTTCAAATCATGACCCCTGGGAGAAGGGCGGGGCCACAATCGGGTATCAAAGTTTTATATAGAAATATATAGGAAAAATCTTTGAAAATCTTCTTCTCAAGAACCACTGGGCCAGAAAAGCTGAAACTTATGTGGAAGCATCCTGGTATAGTGTAGATTCTTAATTGTTCAAATCATGACCCCTGGGAGAAGGGCGGGGCCACAATCGGGTATCAAAGTTTTATATAGAAATATATAGGAAAAATCTTTGAAAATCTTCTTCTCAAGAACCACTGGTCCAGAAAAAGTGAAGCTTATGTGGAATCATTCTGGGACAGTGTAAATTCTAAATTGTAGGAATCATGGCCCCCGGGGGAAGGGCGGGGCCATTATAGGGAATCAAAGTTTTACATAGAAATATATAGGAAAAATCTTTGAAAAATTTTCTTCTCAGGAACCACTGGGCCAAAAAAGCTGAAACATATGTGCCCATGGAAGGATCATTGGGTAGTGTAGATTTCAAAATGTTTAAATTATGATCAGTGGGGTAGGGTGGGGATGCATTATGTATAACACGGGGAAATCTGGTAAAGAACAGAATGGTCAAAGCTTCTCAGGTGAGCGATGTGGCCCATGGGCCTCTTGATTTAGGCTGTACCTTCGTTTCAATTACATGTATAAAAAAAAAATAATGAGCAATTACATTTGCACTAAAAATGTTTTAGCATTTCTCTCTTCTCTTAGATCCATAAAATATTCATGATTTAGCACCTATGAAAAACCCAGCGGGGGGGGGGGGGGGTGTTATTTTGTACCATTTGGACAGTTTCTAAGTTATAAGTAATATTCTTAATCACAAAAGGGGCCAGTCTTGTATTCCACCATATTTCAAGTTAAAGACTACGCCTTGTATTTCCTACAAATATACATCGACCATTGCTTCCAAACTTTTCAATTACAAGAACACTTTACATGGCCTGGATATCGACTATCTGAAAAATAATCCTCTTTCGTGTTCATGTTCTTCTTCGCCCTATAACTATAGTCCTGCTGGACACGTTATTACAGGTGACGTAAAAATAGTTCGTAATGAAGACCTTAGATCACTTATTTTAAAAGGTACTAAATATAGGGAACCCCGATCCTTCAACTGGCGTCGGAATTTCATAAATATTATGGATTCTGTTGAAAATTACGCCAGACGATGGGCTAGATATGAAAAAAAAGACATTGATACCTTGTCAGAATGGATTAAATGTATCAGATCCATGTTAAAGTCACGTATTAAAAGATTGAGGGGCAAAATGAAAACCATATATCCCTCTGTGTTCAATAAACCAGAAGTGAAAAAAGAATTAGATAGATTACACGATCAATACGTACTGGTTCCTGCCGACAAAGCAGGTAAAACATTGTCTTCGTTTGTAAGGCTCATTATATAAATTGCATTCTAGAAGAACTTGGATTTAATTCTACAAGTGGTAATCATACATATACATATACTTCTCTTTCTAAGGAAGAAATTCTTCAAAATCACCTGTCAGTTTTGAATACTTTTAATATTCCACAGAGCCAAAATGAATTTGAACTACCTTATATATATTGGATTCATAAACTTCATAAGAATCCCTACAAACAAAGATACATTGCAGGTTCCAGTAAATGTTCAACCAAGCCTCTTTCGTTACTTCTCACTAAAATATTGACAGTAGTGAAGGAAAAACTTCAAGAGTACTGTGCAACTATATATTCAAGAAGTGGTGTAAATCAGATGTGGATACTTAAAAATTCTAAAGAACTTTTGGACAATTTGAAATCACAAGTCTTTACAAAAATCAACAGCATAAAAACTTACGACTTTTCAACTTTATACACAACAATTCCCCACGACAAATTAAAATCCAGGCTTTTTGATATCATTGACAGCTGCTTCTTCAACAAAAATGGAACTCGTAAGTTTATAATTACTTACCTCGTCATTGGTCACTTGAAAAATTATTTTGTTAAAACAGATTCTGATTGCACACATAAGTACTCTGAAGTTGACATCAAGAAATTGCTTGAGTTTCTGATTGACAATATCCATGTGGTTTTTGGAGACCAGGTATTCCAACAATCTATTGGAATTCCCATGGGTAACAAATTGCGCTCCGTTATTAGCAGACTTATTTTTATATTCATATGAAGCAGACTTTATGCAAAATCTTTTACGTGAAAAGAAGAAAACACTTGCTGTGGCCTTCAACTCGACATCTAGATATATCGACGACGTATTGTCAATTAATAATGATTACATTGTATTTCCATTCCTACGTCGACACGATATATCCTGGTGAGCTTGCGATAAAAGATACGACAGAGTCTGGCACATCTGTATCATATTTGGATATTTTACTTGAAAGAGATGTTAATGGTAATCTAACAACCAAGTTATATGATAAACGTGATGACTTTAACTTTTCTATCGTCTACTTCCCTTACTTACGTAGCAATATACCTTCATCACCTGCATACGGAGTATTTATATCTCAGTTGATTCGATACGCAAGAACATGCTCTACGTATGAACAATTTCTTAAACGAGGTAAATTATTGACAAGCAAGTTGATGAAACAAGAATATCAACAGTCTCGTTTAAAGT